TTTTGGTAAATGTATTTAATTGTTTAATAAAACTTTTTAAAAATTTTAGAGAACTGCCATATTTTTATTTTTTGTATCATGCATACTTGAACAAATAAAGATAACTCTTCACACTTGGGTAATAACATTCAGAAAGCAAAAAATTCTTTAACTAGAATATCTATTTCAAGAATGATTTCAGCTATTAAAAATAAATAGAAAAACTAAAACAAATTATAGAAAAGTATTCTGGAGTAATAATCATTATAAAAGCATTCTTTAAATTATTGATTTTCGTCAGAGGGTTTTAATAACGTTGATCGATGACGTCACAACTGCAACAAAACAAAAATGTGATGTCGGCGCTGCTGTATTTGAGAGGGAAATACTTTATAATTATGTTTGTGATTTATTAGATGAAAGGCTCATTAATCAGGTTTACTGATTTTGAAGCCGTATGTTTTTTTTTTACTGAAGACAAGAAGCTGCGTTCTTATGTAAGTCAGGGTTTCCACTGATATTCTTAAAAAGAATCAAAGAATACGCGCCTCATGGAATATGTCAGCAGAGTAATTGCTATTTATAACGCCATGTTCACTGAATAACGTTATTTATTTCTTAATTAGTGGCTTTCATTAAAAAACATGATTTACAGAGAAAACGTACATGTGAATAATAGTACGTCTGCAAAATTAAAACTTTCTTTTTGAATCATTAATGAAAAGCATAAATATAATCAAAAAATATACATATATTTAAATATTTTTCATTGATTCCTACAAATTGTAAAATACTTTTTACATAGAATACATTAATATTGTATACCTACGTATCAAGAGAACAATAGCAAATACATAATCCGTACTACAAATCCAGATAGCAATAACTCACTTACAATACGAAAAGCTTACCTTGAAAACTTTCCACTCTTGATGTGATAAGAAACAAGACAATATAATTTTCGTACATTTTTTTTTTACAAAGGGATTACATATTTTTACTTGGACACGATATAAGATGTGTGAATCTTTTATCCTCTTTTCTGTTCTAAAATCATAGAGAAACATTAATCTATGAAAAAAGATACTGCCGGTTTTATACTTACTGCATATTTCTCTGGTCTCTGGGTCGTTATAAAAAAAACCCACCCATCTGTATCTGTGTCAATTTGAACATAAAACATGTTTGGTGCAAAATATACAGTACCATAGGGTTTAAAAAAACGAGAACCTTTTCTTTGAATGCATTCATTTATAATTTTATAGCTTTAAGAAAAAAAAAATACATAATTATATAATGAGATATGAATGACTTTATGCTATCAGTAAATCTGTCAATTAACAACTTAAAAATAGTATTTTATGATTCACATACCTAACTTCTGGAAAAAAATAATAGACTTAATGTATATTCTACAATTGTTCCAGCAATTTTTTTTTTATTTCTCTCTACAACTTTTTATCGCCTGTTTTCAGATGATGGTTCAGCTTTATTGATCTGAGTTAATGTACGAATGAGAAGGGGATTGATTTGTATTTTGGGGGAAAGCGGGATAACTCTATTAATATGTTTCGACTCCTTTCACCGGAAGTAGTGAGTCCTCAAGTTTAATAATTCTTTCATTGCCACATACGTGTCATCTTCTTCTTTCTTCTTCAGGTGGTATTCTATTATTTACAGTTAATTACGTCTTTTATTTGTTTGCTCTGCACCTATTTTGTATTGTTTTATAGACTTTGATATTGAATATGTTCGTTATCTCCATATCCTTCCCTACACTTTTATTTAAGGGACGAGATTGTTGTTTATGCTAGGCACATGTTGGACTTAGTATGAGAATTGTAAATATATGAATTAGTGTTAAAGACTTTAAATTAAGTAGGTAAACAGTAGCTTACATGTAGGTGAGCATCTTTTGTCATGCTTTATAGATGCATGTGTGTTTACATGTATATACTGTATTAACACGAATGTTTCTTTAGTTATAATGGGACAGAGAATAAAGTTTTAATTGATTGCATTAAGTGATTTTGAAAAAAAAAACATGTTGATTTTATTTAATAATTTACTGAGTAAGTTTGACCTAATTTGTGCATCTCAGCATGCCTTAAGCGTAATGGATACACTCATTTTTTTTTTTTTTACATGTGAGTTCGAGTCAAAATAGGAATACTATGTAATTCAATCTTTTTCAGTAAGATTGAACCTTTTTGTAAGAAAGAATAACTACAACATTGATAATGTTTGTTTATGCTCATTTATTATAATTTTGTTCTAAGGAAAAAATATATCTTAATTATAAATTTTGATTGCTTTGCGTCGCAAAAAGTCAATATGTCTTTTCTGATTAAAGTCTTTCCTAAAGAACTGAATGGATTACAGACATGTGGCAATGGGAGATTTTTAAACGTCTTCAGACATATAATCATGTCAACTTAACGATAAGCAAGACGTACTAAGGCCATGAATAAAACCTTATAAATCTCAAAGCTAAAATTGATGTCAGGAACAGAAGAACACAAAATTGCGTTATTTCCCTAATACATGAGATTGGTTTCAATTTTAATACGTTAGCGTAACAAAGTGCATCTATTTATAATAATTTATAATAATTCATGCAAAAAATGATTATATATTGTTGACTAACACATTTCTACATTCTTTAGAGTATTAAAGTCGAATATTTAGACTTGAATCCATTTAAATACAACAAAATCTAGGATAGGTAAATTTTCAGTATTTTACATTTCGGGGAATATACTCCGCTAGGCAATAGCGGAAAAGTAAACATGTTGACATATCATTTTTCTTGTATCTGTCAATTGCTGTGATGTATGTTTATGTTTTAAAAGCAGACTTTTAAAGATCGAGCCCATTTAGTGCCGAGTATAGAATTACCTTAAACACACAAAATTATTTCCTTAATACACGAGCTTGTTTTACTTATCAATTTACTACAACTAATAGACTTTAGATATGACATGACTATAATTCAGTAAAATAGAGCCATTCCATTGAACAAGGATAACAAATTGTAAATATTTATGCTCTTGAAAGAAAAATTTTTGGGAGGAGTGGGGCATTAAATATTCAGAAGATGATTTATAATTATAATTAAGCATAATTTTCAAAGATATTGTTTCATGACTGCAACGATATATGCTCAGTTTCTTTACTGACAAAATCAGGTACAGTTATGAGTTTATAGTTTTCGCAAAAGAAGAAAAACGCGATTTTTTTTTATTTTTATACCTCCAGGATTGAAACTGTACCTCTTTTTTTTTTTTATTTTTTTCGTTCACGAGCTTGTTTTACTTATCAATTGACTAGAAGTAATAGACTTCATATAGGACATGAGTAGAATTAAGTACAATAGGACCATCTCATTGAACGCGGGTAACAGTTTGTAAATATTTACGCTCTTTAAATAAAAATCCTTGGGAGGAGGGGGCATTAAATATTGATAAGATGATTTATAATTAAGTATATTTTTGAAAGATAAAAAAAAAAATAAACGCGAATATTTTTATTTTTATACCGCCCGCATAAAAACTGTACCTTTTTTTTCTTCTCAATTCTCTTATCAATTTTGTCTATGATACTTTATAATTTAAAAGCCTTGAAACATGAATCTACTTCTAACTACAGAAACCGTAGCATTATTTTTTAAATTTTATTGATGAAAACGCAACCGATTTCCTAAAGTAAGTATTGAGTAGTTAACGACGTCTTCTGCCAACTTTGGGGATATGTTTATCTTCATTTCAGCATTAAACGATCAATTACCTTTCATTCCCAAATGTAAGATATATTCTTTTTTCAACCTGTATATTGTATCGGCCTCCAACCCCTTTATAGGCTTGTCTTGTGACCCCCTCACCCGAAAAAATGCTTTTATCAATAAAAACGATTTAATAAGGTTTAATGGACGACTATAAAGGTCAGAGGGTAGATATAACATACAGGTTGTTAAAGAGTATTTCTCAAATTAGGAAGGGACAGGTGGTTTACAAAATAATGCAGGAAAGTAGAAATTTTTTTTATCCTGCAACTACCCCTTGCACTGACCTAACAAAGCTAACCTAATAAACCAAAGCTTTATCCGGTCACTGCCTAATATAGCATCGCGCATGTTTTCCGACGTTCTAAAAGCATTGTTACCTCACATTTATTGCAATGTTTACGCCATGGCTTCGTAGTTTCAACTGCAGAGATGTGCCTAAATCAGTTGGAATTAACTTGTTTTGGACGCTCAAATGTAAAATTTTTTTGCAGGATAAACAAAATACATGATAACTGTCTTGAAATATGAGCGATATTTGGGATAAGGGTCGAAAACGCAAGCCTCGCCCTCTATCACGTTTTCTTACCTTCGCCCAAATATCGCTTAAATTTCAAGACAATAACCATGCATTTTTTATATCCCTATCCATGCGCAAAATTCAGCTCCGTAAAATGAACAACATTTGCTTCAAGGGATCTGTAGCATTTTTGTCTAAAAGACTCAAATATATTTCAGTGTGACGTTAAGGTTTCTAAAGGTGGCTTATAAAACTTCAAACTGCTCAAGAAGAGCGGGAAATTTGATTTTCGCTGATGACGTTACTCTGTCAAGGCCTTCAACGTTAATGTCATAAAAAGTCATCATATAATACTTTGTTTTCCCATTCATTGGTTTGGCATTACATGCAGCCTTTTTCACACAGTGTATATATGAAATACACGAAAAAGTAACGAGTAATATTGGTGTTTGAAAATAAAATTTACGTAATTATCATCTCTACGTCATTTATAAACTGTAACAGAATGAAATTCTAATTATCAACACACATGTACGGAGATGACAGACTGATGGATACTACTTCTACCCAGTTATGTGACCTTTCACGGGGATCAGTTGAAATTCAAGGAATGTATTAAAAAAAACATTGTCTTTGTTGTTCACATACTTTGTATCATTAGACTATTAATTATAAAACGACAATTGATAAAATAAAAACAAAACTTTTATTATGTAACAATAGTTAATGCGATTTTCTTTTTTTTTTTTTAGTAATGAATATTACATGTACAACACGATCTTAAACATAATACATATTAAGACTTTTCAATAGATTCATTACACATAATAACATTATATCTATATGTTTGTTACAATGTATATATTATAGAAACCACCCTTATGTCTAAAAATAAAGTTTTCATGATCTATAATAAAAGTATGTAACTTTTCATATTATGCGTGAACAAGTATGGATATAAAGGTGTAAAAAGTCAGTGAGGTTTAATCATCATGAGAGTTTCTTTTATCTGTTTACCATTAGTCACTGTAGGATACCATGGGAAGGTCCAGGACTCCGGGGACCAGGGACCGTTAAGGAAGGCAAGATGACAGCTGTTAAACCACCAGCCTCCTCTAATATTACTGAGAGCAGCACAGTTTCTAGGAAACCCGTCGTTATCTCTGTCCGGGGTGGAGAAGTACATCCCAGACAGATCGTAGTTATAAGGAGAACCAGTGTGTAACATAGAGTCCCCTGTAAAATTATCAGAGAAAAATATAACATGAACACCTATTTCAGATTTGATCATTATCATTTACTTAAACTTTAAAGCTTAAAGTATCTATAGTATTCAACAATAAAACCTTTTTTTGAATTACTTTATATTGCATTGCTTTCAATTACAATAGATGAACACAGTTTTCATTTAATATTTAATATTTAACGTTGTTTTTCAGTTGTCATTTGATTTCTATTTTTACTGTATACGAACATGTTGATGAGTCTCAACAGAAAATATTTACATTTGCAAATGTTTTCCTTTATATAACACTACTAAAGGCAAGCGTTTTTATAACTGTGTAAATACAGGTATGGGGTCAAGAGGTCATAGATGTGCGTTTGGATAAACGTTCGACGTAATTTCTCTGTGACGTCATAAAGGGTCGACGCGCGTTTAGTGGATTACATACATGTCGTTGGGTTCGAAAATTTAAGGCATTTCACACGTTAAAAGTAACAATCAGGCAAATATAAAGTATGAATAAGTCACAAATGTAAATATAAGTAATAAGGTATCATTTTCTTACTTCACGGCTCTAACCTCCGCGCCACGCGGATGACATCAACAAAATTGATTATTATTTTATTCATTTGAAGCCTTTTTTAACCTTGAAATGGGTAAGCCTATATACGTTCATATAAAGAAGGAATATTCTAAACAATAATTTCATGAACCAGTAAATTGACATAATATTAGAAAATAACTGTTTTGATTTTTTTCTTTTTTTTGGGGGGGGGGGGGGTCACCTCTTTAAGTTAACAGTACACGAAATAATAGCTTTTCTTCCATTTTATCAACACATTAATCATTAGAATTCTTCAAATTTGTGCGACTACACGTAGATACAATTTGTGTAGTTAACTTCTCTCTTTAGTGTTGTATACCTTTTGTTAAGTCTACTATGTTTATCTTCAACACAAAAGCGGGTTAATTACAACACGTCATTGTTATCGACTGTAATTAATTACATTTCCAATGCAAGTTTTGTTTTTATATTCAATAATCGTTCTACACTTTAATTGATTTCTCTGTATTAGTTATGTATCTAACAACATTACGTACAAGTACGCATGTAGTGTTTATGACGTGAACATGTTCAATCTTTTAGCTATTTATTACTGATTGGCTCATATAGTAGGGGCTCTTGATTTTCAATACTAGTATACAAGGAAAATTTGACTTTCAAAATATTGATATCCACGCATCCCTCTCCATTAATTACCTAACTCTAGGGTTGATTCTCACAGAAAGAATTGGTATTTGTCTATCTGTCACAAGAAATTAAAATCTTTCTCCCTCTATCTCCTTAATATAGGTCGTCATTCGTACATTCTTTTTTTCCGTTTACCTACCCAGGGTCCCGGTTGCTGGTCCGCCAAGAAAAAGTTGGTAGCTGTTGGTTTCGTCAGCAACAGAGAACTGGTTGTATAATTCATAGAGCTTTGTCCCATTGGTCAGTGTGATAGATACGTAGAGGGAGGAGTTCCTTCTCTTGGTAAGTTGATGTATGACGTCATTTCCTTAAAAATTTTATCGTCGTGTAATATATAAAGAATTCATAAAGCAAAACATATTTATTTCAAGTTGTCATATAATTCAACATATGATTATAAAAGTATACAGAAATTTCTAATTGTGTAGTGCATGCAGCAATGAACATACATGTTTTGAAATCAAAGTAGGGAAATCGTTATATATTGTATTTTACATAAATTGTTATAAACTTCATTTAAACTGCTAAAAAATTAAATGCTAATTTAAACTGTTAATAATCAGAAGAACTATCATCCCCTAAAACAACATAAAATATTACAGAGTTATAAATGGGTACAATGTAAATTGCAAATTAATGGTTCCCCGAGGGAGGGGAATATTTCTGCATCTGGAACCCTTACCCTTTGGGAGCTATAAATTTGCTATGTCCTCTGTAGTCATTCCATAACTGTTTATATGTTACCTATCCAGTAGGATCCGTTAGGATTCCCGAATCCCGTTTTGTAGTCTGTCCAGTTTCTGTCGAATGACACTGAACCACTCACACGTCTCTGGATAGCCTAAGGATTTATGAAGTATAGGAGGTTATTTTTATTTATTTATTTATTTTTTGATAGTTTATTTTTACTTTCACACAAATTATACAAATACAAAACAGACGTATCTGTAAATAAATATACAAGACAGTTTGAAATAAAGCAAAAACAAAAAAAGAGGTAATAAAAACTAGTGTAAAAGTTTATGTAGAGAGAAAGAGAGGGAGAGGAAGAGGGAGAGAGAGCGAGAAAGTGAGAGAGAGGGAAAGATGTGGGGCAAAAACTTTCTTGAATAAGTAACGGTAAAATATTTTTAAAAGTATTTCAACTATTCACCGCCAATGTCTATCAAATTTATCATAAACTTTAAACTTGCGTACTATATTAATCCAAACAACTATTTAAAGTAGAAAAAATCTTTATCAAATTTATGATATTATATTTTTGTTCTACAGTGTAATTAAAAAATATTTATTTCGGAATTTCATTATCTTCCTGTAAAATAAACTAGAACAACCATTTAATGTTCCTTCTGCGAAAAGATTTCATATCAGCGTTAAAATCAAAGATTAATGAATTGTTAAAGAAGGAGTAGCTATAATTGATGGTGGAGAGAGAGAGAGAGAGAGAGAGAGAGAGAGAGAGAGAGAGAGAGAGAGAGAGAGAGAGACAGAGATCTTACTGTCCACCCTCCACCTTCTGTCATCATGTCACAGAAGACGCTGACCTTGCTGTTATTACCAAATGGATAGATCTCATACACACCAGATTCTGTATTACCATAGATATAGAGGTTCTTGCAATCTTTATATTTGTTTAGCTCTGAAAGAAAAAAGAAAACAGAATATATGACCACCTTCCTCTCTATGTCTCTATATCACAGTACACGTGCACCTGACTCTTATTACCGAGGAGATCTTTGAGATAAACGCTAGAGTCATTGTGACTGTTTAAATAGTAATTGCAACAATCTGTATAATGTTTTAAACCTGAATGTAAGAGAAATACATTTATTAATTTGTAATTATCATATCTATGAACATCCAGACAAAATTCAGAGAGAGAGAGAGAGAGAGAGAGAGAGAGAGAGAGAGAGAGAGAGAGAGAGAGAGAGAGAGAGAGAGAGAGAGAGAGAGAGAGGAAGTTACCTTTCCTGACAATTCTAGCATTTTCATGGGTCTTGGTGACATCTTCTTCAAGTTTCTTCACCATACGCCTGAGGGAATCAACCATTTCTTGGATCCTCCCCTGCTGGATCACAAGATCTCGAATCTGCATCATTGTCTCTCCATTACTGGCACAACGATCTTTCGAATAAATGTACTGGGAACTTGTACATACGATGCCGGACAAAAGGAGCGCTGCCCACACGATTGCCATGGTTTAACTTCTTTGATCTTTTCTTAACGAAAGCGTTTCTGGAATAAAGTGTTTCTTGAAAATATCCACAGCTTTATATATAGCCCTAAACACGGAAGATCAAAATTCAACCAATAATATAAGTCATTGCCTTTAACCCCTTCACGTCACTTAAATGATGAGCTTAAATTTTTATATTCATGGAATTATTGTCAAAGTCAGATAAGCTTATTAAGCATGGATCACAGTCGTAATATCAGAGAGGAGGCTAACCTTTACTCCACCTATTGTTTTTTTTTTTAATTATTATTAGCTTTTCATAAGTGCACACAATTGATAATAAACAAATAAATACAGTTCACATTGGATATCTTACTACCTTTTGTTCTTGTTACAAAACTGCACAATTTTAAATGATCGCTTAAAAAGACAACCTCGTGAAAAAAGCTTTAAAGAAAAAAAATCCAGTTAATCATAATACTAAGGTTATTCACAAATGTTTTTTTATCTGGTTTTTGTGTATGTTTATTTAGTTAAAGTGAGTCCTTTGCCTCTTTCAAAATAGTAAGAATATTATATACTTTTAAGGGATATGGAGATAACTAACAGTAATATCGAAGTCCATAAAACCATACAAAATAAGAACAGAACAAACACGGACCTCCGAAACACCAGAGGTGGAATCGGGTGCCATGGAATGGAACTGGAACACATTTTCAGGGAATGCAAATGTCTTATTTTAGTCCAGCCTCAAAGAGTTTTTTTTCAAATTTGCCTCTGATAAGTAAGGAATTATTAGCCCTCCCCCTTCCCCCTTGATTAAAGAATAGATTTGAATTTTTAGAAGTCTCTATTTTTGAAAGCTTCATATTTATATACCCGCCGAAATATGGCTGAAATATTGCCGACTTGGCGTTAAACAATATAAAATCAATCAATCAATCATATTTATAGTCCAGATTTATAACCTTTTCATATCTATAGTCCAGATGTATCACCTTTTCTCTGTTTTATGTATTTTACTATTTTATAGAAATGTTGAAATGTTAAACCTTAAGTGTAAAAGATTCATATATAAGATCTAATGCAATTTTTTCATTTAGAAAAAGAAAATAAAACAAAACTCATTAGCGATGTCTGCATTTCTTGACAGCTTTCCATCCTGACATTAGAAAAAAAAATCAACAAGAAGTCGATCAAAACTTACATCAAGAAAAAAAATCCCTGATAGAAGGATAAATATTTTTGATGTTTGTTTTCATATTTAACTAAATATAAAATCAATAAAAAACAAATTGTTGTATTTAACGTAGAACCTACGTCGTATGACATCACAACTAGTGAATGTGTTTAGCCTGTGCTAGATCAATTATGACGTCATAATTGATTCAATGTCACTTTTTCCCGTACTTTGCACCTTCAATAGAAATGGTAGAAAATATGTTCACAGAATTCAATTTAAAATTATGCCAAAAAAATCTTAATTCACTTGTTTTCTGGTTATAATGCTTAATGAAATATGTTTCTTGAATGAGAGAAACCTGTAGGCACCTTTCAATTAATAGATCTTGACCTTTATTAAGTTAACAAATCAAAGGCCATTTTGTGTAATGAAATAACAATGTATTCAACTTACTGTAATAATGTAAATGGTATGTACATGTAACTATTTTGAAGGAATGCAAAAATTCTATAAAAAAAAATCTTCAGTTGCCAACTAAATAGTTGAAATATGTTGATGAAATGTGTCTAAGTCTAAGATGTACGTATTGTAGATCGTGTGTACATTTTTTAGATACATCTAATATATGTTACTTATTCATATTCTTGGAGTTTGATTACAATTGATTACAAATTTACAGTTTTTCTATTATATATGATCTTTTTAAATTAAATGTACAATTTTTGATAAACATTTTTAATCTGAAAGTAACCCCAAACAGTTATATAATAATTAAATCCCGTGTAAGTGCAAAAAAGGTCAAGAATATTAGGATCGGTAAATTACCTATCTCTCATTAGTTAGAGGGGAAAGGTTTATATTTTAATCACTTTTTGTAATCATTTGGGTATGTTCTTTATCATATTAAAAATTAAAAACATTGTGACAAAGACTTCTGAAAAATATTTACAAATGTAGGGTGGAAAATTGACTGAAAATAAATAGAGTTCAGTTGCCTATAGTTTTTAAAAAGTTGACTTATCTTTTATGTCAATTGAATAAAAAGAATTTATTCTCGGGAAATATTGTTTGATACTGTTCAATTAATAAACAATAAAAACAATGATGTTTAAAGAAGTAATTTTTTTGATTTTTTGTCTTCTTTGCATGACAAGTACCCCTGAAAATGACTGAAATTGTGAAGTCGTAATATGTATTTATCATTCCATGTTTAAATGCCTGCACTACATTTAATAACAAGGAAACATGTCATGTTCTTTTGACTGATTGATAAGCGGGTGCTAATTTATCATTATGAAAAGTTTGAAAATCTTGTGACAAAGACTTCTCCGACATAGGTTCTACCTTAAAAATATTATAAAGACAACAAATTGTTTGTGATTAATCAAATAAAGTCCATTTTTCATTTAAATGTCAACCATTGCCAACATTGGTTTTGAATAATTGTTATGATAAGCTTTTGATATTACGTACCACCTTCACATGCATTACTAGCAAGTAACCGTCAGCATCCTGAAGTGTTGTTGTAATATAGAAGAAGAAGATTACCAATTGATTTAGAGAGAAAATATGGTGGAGGAGGTTGTTACAAGAAATATAATACATATTGCATATAAACTATATTTAATGTGCCATTGGCAAAGATAGAATATAAAAATATCAAACAAAAAATAAAAATACTGGAAAATGTCATTGAAAAAAAAATTCAAGACTTCTTTCAAGCACGCTTGATTATTTCAAGAAAAAGTTGGTTCAAAGTATCTTTTGAAGAAAAAAAATGGAAATAAATAAAGTGGGGGTGGATATTTGGTTGGTTGTATGCATTGCAACAAAAACTGTAGAAGTGAGTCCTATTGGTCTCTCAGTTGAAGTTCCTATACACGTAAGAAAACACTTATAATGACAGTAGGAACAGGGTCAGAGTGATACAGTCTTAGCATAGTGGTATCATCATGGTAACAGTAACATGATACAAGTGATACAGCCCTAGTCTAATGGAATCATAATGGTAGGAGTAACATGATACCAGTGATACAGCCCTAGCATAGTGGAATCATAATGGTAGGAGTAACATGATACCAGTGATACAGCCCTAGCATAGTGGAATCATAATGGTAGGAGTAACATGATACCAGTGATACAGCCCTAGCATAGTGGAATCATAATGGTAGGAGTAACATGGTACCAGTGCACATTTGCGAGATGCACTCACGGTTTACTTTAACGTTTAAACCTGTACATTGTATGGAAGAACATTATTAATTATAGATAGGAAGTGCATTTTTGATTATAGATAAGAAAATCGTTTTACAGTGCTGCTATCCCACAAGTTGACATGGGATGGGATTGGATAGGATTCAGGATTGAGGATTCACGATAGAAACATATACCCAGATAGCAAGACTATGTTGGGCCAACATTGGCAAAAGGTTGTATGGTTGGCGTTGGGGAAACAACGTTGGGCCAACGTTGGACCAATGTCACCATGCCAACCTTCTCGACCATGACAGAATTCCTATGTTGGCCCAATTGGTCCAACGTTAGCAACTTCCATTCACTTTACTTCCCAAGGAAGAAGGGATGTTGATGTTGGCCCAACGTTGGCCCACTGTTTATAATACACTCTTAAAGAAAGTGTCTTTTAAAGTTGGTAGTAGTATGTTGGCCCAACGTTGGCCCGATGTTTGAAATACACCCTTAAAGAAAGTGTCTTTTAAAGTTGGTAGTAGTATGTTGGCCCAACGTTGGCCTGATATTTGTAATACACCCTTAAAGAAAGTGTCTTTAAAGTTGGTAGTAGTATGTTGGCCCAACGTTGGCCCGATGTTTGTAATACACCCTTAAAGAAAGTGTCTTTTAAAGTTGGTAGTAGTATGTTGGCCCAATGTTTGTAATACACCCTTAAAGAAAGTGTCTTTTAAAGTTGGTAGTAGTATGTTGGCCCAACGTTGGCCTGATATTTGTAATACACCCTTAAAGAAAGTGTCTTTTAAAGTTGGTAGTAGTATGTTGGCCCAACGTTGGCCCGATGTTTGTAATACACCCTTAAAGAAAGTGTCTTTTAAAGTTGGTAGTAGTATGTTGGCCCAACGTTGGCCCAATGTTTGTAATACACCCTTAAAGAAAGTGTCTTTAAAGTTGGTAGTAGTATGTTGGCCCAACGTTGGCCCAATGTTTGTTATACACCCATAAAGAATGCGTTTGGCCTAACGTTGACCAAATGTTTGTAAAACATCCTTAATAAAGTGTTTTATAAAATTGGTAGTAGTATGTTGGCCCAACGTTGGCCCAATGTTTGTCATACACCCTTAAAGAAAGTGTCTTATCAAATGGGTAGTAGTACATGTATATTGGCCCAATGTTTGTAATACACCCTCCTCAAAAAATGTTTATCAATTTGGTAGTACATTGTAGTATGTTGGCCCGATGTTAGCACTAGTGTTCTTTTGTTTAGGTGTTTTAAAGATGGGATATTTATATTGGGCCAACGCTGGCCCAATTATTATACTGCCAACTAAAGATGGTGTCAATTTTAGCTGCTGAGCTGACATTCTATGTCCATGCTTTTAATTGGATGACCGTTTTTGTATAGATCTGATATATTCAACATTTTAAATTTTAACTTAAGTGATCACAGCACCAAAGAGTGTTTTATTATATTTTTTGAATTGTGCACATGCATGATTATTTATTTGAAATAAAACCTTTGAAATTATGATTTTTTTTTCATGAGCGTTGTATTCATGAGAATTTAGAGAAGACTGAATACGTTCTCAGGAACAGGATGTGAATGAAGCCCACATATACATAAATCAAAATGACACATCTTTATAATTAAATTGAAACAAAAGTTAGGCGTTCGCTATCACGTGACCAAACTTTGGAGTGAGCTGTCAGATCCAATTGCTCACAGGTGGTGATAATGAAGGGCAAGCAAGAAGTGAAATTTAAATTTGTGGATTATACACTTGCTATACAGCTGCATTTAGAAGCGATGTAAGTATATTTATTCTTATTTATTCAGGTTAACTGTTAAAATTGATTCGGAATTCATTCTTGTCATGTTTTTGCAAGTAAGTTAAGGTTAAATAACATCTTTTAAGTTGTTTCCATCTATCTAATTCTTAAATGTTTATTACAGACACGATTGTAACAAAGAAATTCAGTCAGAGACTGCAAGGAAAACAAATGTTGTGGCGGTACATGTAAATAACAATGAAATCGAAGACCATGCATAAAGAAGTGTATAAAGTATGAGTCCGTATGACAAAGATCAAGATGAAGAAAACGGGATGGGACGAAGGGACGGAGAAAGAGCGGGAATACAACAAAAGGACTATAATAAAGCAAGTGAGCCCTGATTAAGAACTTTTAATTGATAATTTTTCATAATTTACCTCTATTGTCTATTTTAAAATTTATTTTGTAAATTATGATTGAATTGATGTATATAAAATATTATCACAGTGAATCATTAATAATGTTTTCATTGAACATGTCCATACATGCATGATGAATGCAGATTGAATTGTGTATTAATTATTTTAAACAGTCATAAAAAAGGTTTATGTAAAGAATCACTTAACCAATTGCAAATGTTTCTTTGTAATAACTACGTTGGCCCAACAAATTACCATCTGACATTGTAAAAAAAGGTCAACATTGGGCCAACCTAACCAACCAGTTGTTAAGGTTGGCTGTAAGTTGGCATACACTAAAAACTACATTGGCCCAACAATATGCCATCTGACATTTCAACATAGGGCCAACGTTGGGCCAACCTAACCAAACAGTTGTCAAGGTTGGCTGTTAGTTGGCATACACTTATAACTACGTTGGCCCAACAATATGCCATCTGACATTTCAACAAAGGGCCAACGTTGGGCCAACCTAACCAACCAGTTATTAAGGTTGGCTGTTAGTTGTCATACAATTATACCTACGTTGGCCCAACAATATGCCAACATGTTGGACCAACAATGGGCCGATGAGCAAAATTACCGTGGGCCAACGTAAGGTTACCAACAGTGGGCCAACGTTGGAAAAAAAATTGGGCCAACGTTGGCCCAACTATGTCTTGCTATCTGGGTAGAAGTTAATCCAATCCTATCCTATCCTATCCTACCCTGTATCCTACAGCCAATCAGATTCGAGCAAAGGTTTATTCATATTTCAGAATAAATTACAAAAACGAAATACGATATAAAATGTTTACAAAAGAAATATTTATAAAATTTCAATAGAAAATAAAACATTTTTTTCTCAAAACACAGATTTACATTATAAACTTCGAGTAACACGGCGTACGATCTAACCGTGAACGATCACCGGAAGATTTGGGAATGTAAACAACGAAGAGTACAGACATCGAAAGACCGTATTTCTTCAGCTTGTTTGGATGATTTAACCGATTCTTACTTGTGTAAAAGTGATTTAACATGTTTTCTGTTAAATATGCTCTGTTTGTTTGGATAATTCCACAGGAACCGTCAACAGCGGACTTGAATAGATGATGTGCGAGTTCATGTAAGTATACTACACACTTTTTTTTCTATCGTACTCTAAAGTACTCTATCGTACTCTAGCGTACTCTGTTTAGTAGTACCCCACTGTACACTGTACATGTTTGCATTTTTGATACTTATTTATCCCTCAAAACAATGTTCTCGTGTCTTAAAATATAAACATTTTATTCTATTTAATATAAACAAAAATTAGGTGCGGAAAAAAGAAGTAGTGTAGACAGAAGGGGGGATAAAATATTTACAAATACCCCCGTTAATCTGTCATATGATTCAATTAGCTATCAATGTGCTCCCCTAAGACTAGAACAGTCATATGTATTATGCCTTAATCAGTTTATTAATGTTATTATTTCCTTGATTCTTTCAATTCAGTGTAACTTATAATAAATTAATGTAGAATCATCATGATCATTTCTAATGCTACTGCTGAAATGTTTAATAAGCTCACTCAGCAGTGCACTTACATATTGTACATGTATGTATGATGTATTGTGAGTTATGAAACATAAGTTAATCTTTTAATATTCATCATTACAGTGACGGATTTGCCTGCACTCATGCGTCATCATGCGACATCACAGTATAAAGGATTTTAATCTAAATAGTATGTATGATTTTATATTTTATCATGTATTTTTAAATGGTCATTCAACTATATAAACATCATTATCTGCTTTGAGATGACATGTCTGCAGTTTCTCGGAACAAGTGATTTTCTTCTTTCAAAAATTATGAGAGTTAAACTGAAAGAAATGTTGAATTTTTCTGGTCATCATGTTGCTGTTACATAGATATTTTCTTCTTCTTTTACATGTTCAAATTTCAAGACCAAAAAAAAAAAAAAGAAAACCAAGAAAAAACATTAAATAGATAAATACAAAGAGAAAATAGAGAAAAGTCACTAAAACAAATGTATTCATACTTGTTAGCAAGTTGACAAGATAAAATAATTGATAATGTACAACACTGTACAAGTAAATTATCTTAAATAAGATTTTTTTCTTAATTTTATATGACTGAGGTTGCAGTATAAGATTTTAATTTTCATGATTTCTAAATGCATTATTTTTTTTGAGAGAGAAAAAGGTGAAATTAAATCCAATTGTACATAAAATGTGAAAGATAATCACAATCAAAAACATTTTAAATGTGTATGAAATGAGTATGACAAAATTTACAATCTACATGCCTATAATTATGTGATTTTTTTTTCAGGAAACCCTGCAGATTTGCAGCTGTGCAGAATGCAGTTCATGCCATATGCTATTAGAGTAAATGATGAAAGATGTTCAAACCAGTGTCAAAGATTCCTAAGACTGAAATCATGGTGTTTTTATTAAGGAGATCAGTGTATGTTTTCTGTGCATTGTTGACATTTGTGGAACTGTTCAGTTTATGACCATCTCTCTGACAATAACTCTGACATTTGAATTTCAATTTGAGCGTTGAATAAGAAAGTCAAATTAAATGCATGTAAAACATTATACTACGGTAAGAAAAACATTGATAAACTTAAATTTAAACAAAGTTCATGTACATGTATCTGTGATCTTTGAATTAAAATTCATAAATGCTGTACATGGATACTTTTAATGACTTTGTCTCATGGTAATGGAATATTCAATTGTTAAACATTGTTGAGGAATCACCTTGAATAAAAATATTGTGTACTTGATAAAGTTTTTTTTTCTCATTTAAACACTGATAATTTTAAGATCAAGTGTCAAGGTCAAATAAAAGGTTTACTCAAGAATGTGTTAAACATACTGTGAATTCTTATGCATGTTTATAAGATTTAAGGAACATGTGTGGAACATTTTAATATTTTTCAATCAGACACTGATTAAGATTCAAGATCCAATGCCAAGGTCAAATACAAACTTGCTTTACTCAAGAATGAGTTATAAATACTGTAATTACTGTGAATTCTGAATTTCTCTTGCATGTTTTATAAGATCTTAGGAACATGTGTGACCTCACTACAATATCTATTAATATTATACTTTTATGTAAATTACTTGAATCTGATTCATTGAGAAACATTTGATAAAAAGCACTACTACCTGCTGAATAATGAAGCCATGCCCTCCTGCGTAGCAACAGTCAACATTGCTTGACGATGGGTGGTATTACAAAAAATAGTGACTGCGCGGAATTTATGCGCGCACGGTTCACTGTAATATGTATTTGTATAAAACATTCAGTATAATATAATAAATATTGCATGTAGTTGAGTGTAACATTAAAAATTTTCACCCCTCGAAAACCATTGTCAACCTCAGCTGCGCCTCGATTGATAATGGTTTTCTTGGGGTGAAAATTTTCAATGTAACACTCAACTACACGCAATATTTATATACTTTCAATCTGTCAACCAATATCAAATTTAGAAAATATATTCTATTAAACATAAATTATTAAATTTTCACACATAAAACAAAATTGGAAATTGAAATACATTTGTACTGCTCTGAGCTGACCATAAACTGAGAAGAAACTGAAGTTAAATGAAAAAAAAAACATTTTGATCATCTTGAATTTCATTTAGCAACTATATATTTTGCATGTTTGAAAAATATCACATACGATGAATGATGAACTAAAATTTAAAAAAAGAATAAATTATGAATTTAAATAAAAAAATCATACATTTAATATTTGATATAATAAGATAATTTCAAATTTAAAATGTTTAATATGTGAAAGTCAAAATATTCTAGATCTACATTTTGACTTTGTCTGTTTGGTTTATGGTCTAGTCAGATCTTCTTTTTGAGAACTGCATACAGAATTTAACAAAAACCTGTTATGCAGGCACAGTTAGACTATAGATACATGTACATGCATGTTATTTTCATGGTGCTCAGTTTAGAAAAAAAATAAAATTTTACATAAAACATACACTTAAACATTTTTACCGTATAGGCCTATGATTTTTAAAAATAATTAATTATAATACGTCGGACGCAAGTCGCGATCCCGGGTCTCCCGATCATTGTTAGTAGGAAAATTAAAACACTAAGTATATTTTTTTTCTTTAATTTTTCTGGTAGCCCAATTTCTTTACACATGTTCGCAAAATTAGTACTTGTCCACGTGTAATTACGACCTGTTTGTTAACATTTATTTTTAACATGGCAATGATAATCGTAAATTTAATTTGTGCGGCGAGTCGGGAATTATGGAATGCCGATCTCGATTATTTTTTATTTTCCATTAAAATTTATAACATTTAAATAGATACCATAACTATGTCTGATTTTTTTTCCTGTTAATTCCTTTTTTTTCGTTTTGTCAAATTAATTCCTAAATATTAAAAAACTGAGAGTTGCAGGATAGGATAGGATAGGATTAGACTGAAATCACAGGATAGGATTATGGATGCAGGATTCACGATAGGATAGGATAGAATTGTCAACTTATAGGATAGCAGCACTGTAGTGGTCATGGGTATCGTGTTTGGGCATTGACATGAAAATTTGGAGATAACGAACAGTATTCAAGATCAAAAGTTCATTAAACAATACAACATAGGAGAATAGCAAACATTGACTTCCAAACATTTGAGTGTAGAGTGTCGGATTCTTTGTGGGCAAAATATATGTGTTTTATTTTTGCGCGTTATTTTGGTTGAGCAAATGTCCAATACAATATACATAAAACAGCAAGACAAATTTCAAGACTATAATCTTAGTAGTTTTATATCATATATGGATTAAATTGTGTTAGAAATTCGGCTTTCAAAGTCTTTTTTTCTCGGAAAATGCAGTATTGTTTGAATATGTATTACATTTTGTACCGTCGGATGGATTTTTTTTTCTTTTTGAATACAATGAGGACATTTTGTGGTTTGTATGAAAACAGGGATCAGATCGGTCCCATGTCACGCGTACATATCTATGGTTCTTTGTTTAACTTTACCAAGGAGATTGATTTCATTTCAGAT